GACTAGAAGCGATGTTAATTTTGTCTGCAGAAAATTCGAGATTGGTTTCGAATATGTCTTCGATGATTTTTTCATGAAGATCACAAAGGGTATTTTGTCTGAAAAATGTGACTATGTGTTTGTGGCTTTTGTCTAGAAGTTGGGAGTTAGAAAATTGAATTTTGGAATAGTCTATTAAAGCGGTGGTTTTATAAAGGCGGGCAAATACATCAAATTCATTTTCAAAAAATTGAGTATAATTTTGGCAGGTGTTTCGCTTGAAAATGGAACAACCGGCACCACTGTCAATAAGGATTTTGAATTTTCCTGTCGCGTCGTTGATGTAGTATAAGTTGTTTGGGCTGACGGAGAGAATTGTCGATGGGACTGTAATATGTTTATCTAAATTAACATTTGGTCGGGAGTTGACGTTGTATGGGGGTCTTTGACATTGAGCTTTTGCAAGCTCGCAATCATATGATCGGAATCGTCGTTGGGCTTCACAGGCGGTTCTTCTTTGGAGAACGTTCGCGAAAATCCTGATACTGCATGTTATAATCAGCGGCATCATCGTATTCATAACAGAAATCGTTATTGCTACCAGGGTCAGGGAATTCGTCATACTGCGAGGGGGTGTAAGCAGGGTATTGGGTTTCTGTACCATACTCACTCGCATAATTTGTATTGTAAAGGTCGGGTTCGGGGTACTCGGAATATTCGTAGCAATCTGAGGCTACGTAGTTGATTCGGTTTGTGGAATTGCTTGGTCGGAAGCTTCTTTGGAAGTTAGGGTTTTGGAAGCTCGAATTATGTTGTATAACAGAAGGTCTTGGTATATTCGTATTAGGAACATTTGGCCTAATAACAGAGGGTCTGTGATGGTACTGATTGGAACTGGAGGGCCTATTATTTTGTGTTGGAGGGTTAGGGTTAGTTCGAGGCGAAAATGATTGGGGCTGGAAAACTGGTCTGGGAATATTTTGTGAGAGCTCTTGTCTTCGATGGCAGTCATTTGCTAAATGACCTGGTCAGTGGCAGAAATTGCACACTCTCGGACCTGGTTTCTTAATGGAAGAATTTTGATTAGAGTTAGGAGCTCTAGAAAATTTTTGTCTCTCAAGATATGATAATTGTAGTTCGCGCTCAATAAAAGCGACTGCAGTAAGGATATCTGTTGGGTGACCTGATCTTACAATCGGGCCAATTTTGGAGTCTAGTCCTGCAAGGAGACAGTTTAGAGTCATGGCCTCTATCAATGAACTTTGAGCAGCTTTCTGCTCTCGGTTCATGTTTTGTCGATTGGCGGCTGAATGCATCTTCGCCGCATGAGTTTGAAGTCTTCATGCAAAGGTTAGTGGGTATTCATTTGATAGTTGACGCATATGCTGCAGATCAGCAATTAAGGATGTGAGATATCGAAGATCTCCGAAATGTGTTTCAAGGAGAGAGCGTATGTCTTCCCATGTCGAAGGGTTACGGGAAGTGACGAGTTCTGCTGCTCGTCCGCGCAGTTTGTTTTTTATATGTAGGACGACGAGGAGACGCTGTTCCTCGACAGCCATTTGGTGCGCTGTTCTACATGCGTTGATAAAAGTTGAAAGCAATATCGGGTTGCCATCGTATTCAGGGACGATTGAGAATATTTCGGACAGTCTATAAGGCTCGATGTTTGTATGAGCCTTATCAAGAACTTCAGGTGCTTGGTCATCATCTGATCCATGCTCTGACATGGTGATTGGACATATTTTTCAGGAATTCGACAATAGTACGCAAAATATACGAACTAAATATGGAAAAATACGTAAAAGTTATAGAAAATACGTAAAAGGTCGTAAATAAATGTGAAAAATATAGAAAATGTTGCGCAAAATATGAAAATCACTCAATAAATACGCAAAAATATAGAAATACAGAGATAATTGCAAACGATAGTAGATTCAATTGTACGTTACCAGTGGTACATCAGGAGGCAGTCGTGTTCTCCAGAGGAGGCTCTCGGATCTCTTTCGATGTTTCCAAGTAGACTCTCTGCAGTTGGGTGGCTGCTGCTCGCTGTGCCCTTTTCTTTCTTCTTTTGCTTCTTCTTCTTAGTCGTTTTCTTTCTTCTTATTTCTTCTTGTTACTTGTAGGCTCGTGGTCCTTTGTAGCTCGAAGGATAGACATCCACCACACTGGTGAGCGTTCGCGTGTTCTAATGCGTTGAAGCTATCCCACTTGCCTGACGCCAATTGTTGAATTTAAATGATATAATTAAATTCAACTTTACTTTTTAAAAAATTTATTTGAGGACAGTAACTACTGTCCGTTACAAACTTTTACAATTACTTGACTTAACGGAGTCTAACCGGGTATTGAACAACATGAAATGGGCGCAAGGCCTATTTATACTATTGGTGTGCTTACAAAGCACTTCTGGAGGAAAAATTGTTACCTACTAAGTCGGCGAGATTATTACTGAAATTGTTTTTAAACATAGTCGTCGAATAAAAATCTGGACTGATGAGGTTCGATTAGGATGGAATTATTTTATCAATAAATGGCAAATCATTTCGAAAGGTTTTTTTTAATTAAGCGTTGATTGATTTTGGAAGAAATTTGGAAATTTCAAAACTATCAACTATTGAAAATTCCTTCGAGATTTCATCTTTTTTTCACTGATAACCTCTAAATTATCCAACACGTTCCGGCCGGCTGACATTCTACAGCGGCATATGAAGTGTGACATTGAAATTATTGGAAGGTCACTCACTATTGGTAGAATAACATCCAAATCACACACCTTCCAGAGCAACTTCTATCAAGTTCTGAAAAAATCTCTGTACTGCATCGGTCAATAATAGCGCAACCTCTTGCACTATATAACAAAACACCCTACATAGTAGGCAACACACGTCACAGTTAAGACATAATGAGTGTCCTTCCAACAAGTTCAATGTCATACATCATACTAGTGATGCAAAGTTTCGTTACTTTTTAGGACTTGTAAGGACTCGTTACTTTCGAACTTTGTACTCGTTCGTTTAGTTACTATTTGGACATTTCGTTTAGAACCTACATTCTATATATTATATCAAATTATTACTTTGGGATTGATCCAATTATTATTTTTTGTCTAATGCCTTGTCTATTAATTTTTTTGATATTTGATACGTAGAAGGTACTTATATTTTAAACTCGTCGTTGTGTGACGTCTGGTTCGTTGGCTGTACGCTGTAAATAGTATTTAACAAGTGGCATAACCAGATGGGGACCGTGGAGGAACCACTCTCCTCACTCTTTACTTTAGTTGAGTAGCGTCCCCTGCCCTAACAGTCTGGTTACTCCCCTGCCCTACTTAACAGTCTGGTTACTCCACTGTAAATGGTGTTCAACAAAATACTTATAATAATAAAACATACCTGAAACTAAGTTCCTTTTGCACCTAGGCATATTTTCGTCTTCCACCCGCCGTTTTGCCCTTTCTCCTTCCAATGAAAGAGTCGGATGTTTAGTTTTCAAATGCTTCCTTAAATTGCTAATGTTTCCATTTTTATGCGAATAAATATTTTTACAAAGATTAGACTTTGCATTAGCTTCCGATATATTGGTGAAATGCATCCAAATAACACTTCCTTTTTGAGTTTGCGATTCTCCTGAACCGGACGCGGATGATTCCATATTTTTGTACAAATAATAATTATATTGTTGCTCGAGCTTGTACGGCAACGTCCAAACCAGTAACAACCCGCCAACCGCTAGCTCTCAAAGTCAAATGAAAAGTGTACAGGTGTACACAAACATTGCCAACCTAAAGCTCCGCAGTCCGCAACTCGTTTGATAGAAGAGTATCTAAAGTTGCCTAAGCCTAACGATATTCGCATCATTTCATTTCCACCCAGTTTACATCCAAGAACCAAGTCACTTGCTGCTGGCGCTGGCAGTACTGGCTACATTAGATCCCAGTAACGTTTGTATCTAAAGTAATGTATAGTGTAGTAACTAACAGTAATTAAAAAGTATACATAGAAAAAGACCGTATCGCATTCAAAGTAACGAATTCAAATAAAAAGTAATGAGTCTTTTCAAAAAGTAGGACTCGTTACATTTAGTTACTCATTTGTAACGATTATTTTGTAAACGTTACTTAATTATTTTACATCACTACATCATACGCCGCCGTAGAATTTCAGTCGGCCGGCACGTGTTGGACAATGTTGAGGTTATCAGTGAAAAAAAGACGAAATCGATATAGACATAGATCTTCGAAAGCTCTAGTTGAAGTTATAAGAGTGTACTTTCGCAATACTTTGCCTTCTACCCAAAGAAATTCAAGGATATTTTCTCCTAACAGTTAAAGCTATTAACTATGAATACTATATATATATATATAGTCAAAACTTTTTTTAGGCTTTAGTAAACTCTTTTAACGGTAATCTCGAGCTTTCGGCATTCTCTATGGAGCCATCTTCAGGAGCTGAAAACACAAATATGATGCTAGCAACGAATACGGGAAGGATTTAAATTATCAGAGAACTTACTCGTCGCTGTGGCTGCAGCCAAATGGTGTTTCAAAACGAACGCGTGGATGAGAGCACCTGTTGACACATTGGGTTTATTGATAATGACGGAAACCATCGTTAGGTGTTAAAACTACATATCAATACACCCGAACACACTAAAAATTATCGAAAAGCAATTTTGGGCGAAAAACCGGCAAAGTCACTTCTAACCCCCTACACCTGTTTCACGTGGAGAAAATGAGCGAACCGGAAGAGTGATGCGTCGACAAATGACAAGTGCTATTCATATGAGTGTGCGAGTGTAAGATGGTCATACACGCTTGAAAAGATGGGTTGTATGAAAATACCCCCCCCCCCCTTTCCCATGTATCCCCCATAGCCCCACGGTACCCAATGGGTGCTTAGGCCTTAGGCCTTCGTGGTAGTTGGAGTATAAAAAAAAAAAAAATTAACTCATTGATATTATTCCAATATATACCCCGACCCACTGATGATCTCAGGCGTCTGGGCGATGATGTTGATATGATATTCAGTAATTTAGCGAAATATTCAGTTCCATCGTTTCTGAAGTCATATGTAGAACAATATGCTTTACGAAGTACAATAGTTTTAATCATTATATTTTTGAATGTGTTCAAGTTTCGGGAGTCTAAATTCTTTGTATCAGGCAGTTTGTCCAAGAATATCAAATCGAGTAATTCGGGAGACATTTTAAATTTTATTCTCTCCTTCTTCTTCTCAGAATCCAACAGCAGGTAACGTCCACCAATATCAAAGCTCACTTGGAGTTTGCCTAATAATAACTTGTCCGACTGTGGATTTATTCTCACATTGTATATGCCTCCATACCCTGGATTGTTTGCTTTCAAATTAGATATATGGTTATTTATCAAGTTGGTCAAAGATCCGGATGCTTCACTATGATTTGAAGTAAACATGTATCTACTCATTGAATTTTTTTCATGCGCTCCGAGTAATGAATGTGTGTCAGATTGCGTTTGCATCGAGACCAAATGATGCGTTTCCTGATTTATCTAATCTAATCTAATTCCATAGATTGTGCCCTAGGTGTGCTTGTAGTCGGTGGAAAGATCTGCTCAAATGTTTGGTCATTGAATTCACTACTGTTCTCAAGCAACTCAGTTTTTCTTACACCTGACTTTGTCGCATCAAATAATTTCTTTCTTGATTCATCAAATGATACTTTTTTTAGGATGCTTGGACTATCGATTTGGGGTATTGACTGTTTCGACAAGCTGGATGTAGATGCTTCCGCTATTGTTTTGAGCTGCTTAGTAATGGGCTCATATACCTGCTGCAATGCACTATCATGAAAGTCACGTCCTTTCTTGATAGCAATAAATCCTAACTGACTCTGCTGCATCTACTAATTCCTTCTTGAGTGCCACTTCGGTGTTATTCTGCTGCCGTTTCATTTTGCTTTTCTTTTTTTTTTCTTTTAATCCACCGCGATGCGTACTAGATGCAGTCCCACGATTGATTGATGGTGTTTCTAATCTTCCAGTGGATTTATGAAACTATCAAACCCCTTCCGGTAACGACCACTTGTCAGTTCGCTATCCTTATCGATGACTAAGAATCCGTATTTATCGCTCCATCACATTGCACACATGTCTTGAAATTGCTTAACGGTCATATCAGGTGCTACATGATCGGAGAAAACATAAGATAAATGTGTGTTAGCCACCTTGAATAAGACAATTAGGTTAGCATTGTCTCTTATTACTCTTTTGGGCAACCAAGAGTAACTCTGCACACAATAGAAGCAATCCACGCCTTTGTGCCTACCCATGCTGAAGTATTCTAGAATAGAAGTCTGATTCAATGATTTTGAAAATATATAGACGTTTTCAAAGTAGAGTCCATTCTCATGTAGCAGTGACGATATTAATACGTTGGTTTTTCCACAGTTCGATGGTCCAACAATAATACAGCGGATTGTGGATGGGAAGAGACTTCCATGCCGCTGCATAGCATTGTTTTGTATATCCGCCACTTTTGTATCAATATTGTTGATACATAATTCTTGTTTCTATTTTGTGATCCTCATTGTACAACGAGTTGAGCGTATATATACTGCAATTGCGTATGTCTTATTTATTTAAATGCCACTACTTCGCATTAGAAGGTGTCAAAGCATTCCAAAAGCTGCTGGTGGTGGTTTTGTCGATACGCTGATAGATAAGTTACCATTCGAAGTACACTTACCTTCTTACCAGTTCTGCGGTCCAGGGACACGTCTTAAAAAAAGGTTAGCCCTAGGTCAGAAAGGCATTAATAAATTAGACGCTGCATACTTACAGCATGATATTGCATATCAGAAATCTGATTTGACAGCGAGACACGTTGCTGATTATCAACTTGAGCAAGACGCTTGGAAAAGAGTCAAATCTCCAGACCCAAAACTTGGAGAAAAAGCTGCCGCTTGGTTAGTTACTAATATCATGAAAGTAAAACGTCACGCAGGAATGGGTCTAGCAGCATGTCAAGGACGGAGTAGAAGAAAATAAATCCGCAGAACATCGGGTATTATGAAAGTCAAACGTCGTATAGGTATGGGAGGACATGCATCACGGCGTGGACCTAAAGGAAGAAAAGCTATCCCTAGAAAAGTTTATCACAGAAAAAGGTACATTTTGGATCGGGGATAGTGAATAAAGTATGCAAACACATGAAAAGGTTCTCAAACTGTAAACCAGACAAGAGAGTATTAGCAAAGGCGACTTCCGCTGCATTACTTGCTGCCCGGAAGCATATCAGATCCATCGGTGGAAAACGGCTGATTCAGCTTCCACGAGTTATACCTATTCCCAAGGTTGGAGGCGTCATTCCTTTGATACCAATTTTTGCCGGTCTTTCAGCATTAGGTAGTCTAGCTGGGGGTATTGCCAACATAACAAGAGCTGCTAAAACAGCTAGTTAAGTGCGTGAGCAAATTCAAAATAAAAGCACTTCACCACCTTGTTCTAATGTGAATCGAATTGGGGATGGTCTCTTTCTGAAACCATACCGTAAAGGATTGGGGTTATTCATCAAGTTAAGGAATTCAAAAAACTATTAAAAACCCTTCCCCCTGGACCGCTAACAAATATAGTAGGTAGTCTAAAAAAAAAAAAAATATCGCACCACACACGGTGATTGAGAGGGCAACAATGGGTTACATCGGCCCGTTGGGTCCACATTTCTATTAAACCCCCCCCCCACCCCGGGACAGAACCGGCGCTCTCCTCGGGAAGAACAGAACCGGCGCTCCACCCGGGAAGCAACACAGAACTGGCGATACAAACCTACTAACATTGTCACGAAATTTTATTGACAAGTAATAAGAAAAAAATGAATAATGTGTTATGCGACCCCGCAGCTGAATACACTTCTGTCTACGTCTGGACATCAATAAAATGAGATGATCGATGTTGTTGTTATGGCACCTCATTACAAGCAACCCGAACTTCGTAGATTAGCTGTGGCAGAGTCTATGGCGGATGGTGCAAAGTGAATAGTCTCTTTCCCATCATATCCCACACATGTTCGGTAGGATTCAGATTTGAATGGCCATGGCAAAACAAACATCAATGCCTGCTTCTTGAGCAAAGTCCGTAGTACGACAAGCAATATGGAGACATGCGTTGCCTTGCTAAAAAAGAACGTGTGGACGGCCCTCTAGACACGGCAGTAAAGCGATTTGTAGAACATCATCAACATAACGCGCAGCAGTCGTATTGCCTTGAACAAAGAGGAGGGAGGATTAGCTACCGTAGGCAATAGTCCTCCAAACCATTACTCCAACAGTCCTATGTACATGCCTCTTAACAGCAAATCCAACATAACGCCGCTCTTACCCTTCTATGATCATCGAGCGTACCTGGACAGAATCGCGATTCGTCGCTGAAGATGACATTATGCTATTCTGCCTCCCAATGCTGCCGTTCTCTGCTCCATTTCAACCGTTGACGACAGTGGTCCGCAGTCAGAGGAGGCATTGTCGGTGGACGGTATGAAACAAGTTCAAAGGCTTGAAAGCGACGATGGAGTGTACGCATAGTGACAGGTCTACCTTCTTCTCCAAGCCATTGGTCAGCGATCTGACGCGTAGTAGCAAAACAGTCTCGTAGCGCTAGTGGCCTGAAGTGACTATCTTGACGCTCTGTAGTACGCCTCGGTGGACCAGTTGCTTCTTTGTGTTACTCTACCTTCTTATATCCATACACGATACACACGTGTTACTGGCATTGCAGTACAATTAACATGTGTGGTATACATGTGGGAAGAGTTTTATGTAGCAAATAGTAGTTGCTATTACTCTGTTGACAGATTTTCATCCAATACAATTTTCCACTCCGTAATTACGTTTGTCTTGTATAAAGTATGTCTAAAACTATGTTTACCATTGAGCGACTTTATAATTTCCAAAATTTTTGTGAAGTTTTCTCATATGTATAATTCAAGCTGTTACGTTGTTATATTTTTAACTGACGCTTTACTGACGCAGATACATTTTGGTAACAGGTAATTATCCCAGTTTGATGAATTTTGGTAATCCTTTAGGAATTTTCTCGTTTGACAATCATTTCCAAGCATTCTTTATCACACCAAACTGGTCTACAGTTAGACTGAAAGGTTTTTCAACGTTGTTTGGTAAGCAGCGTCAGGTATCGTTTGGAAGAGAAAGTTAGCTTTGGCAGTGATTGACATATTTAAATCGGTACTTGTGAAATAAGTTTCGATGCAATTTTGGAATGTGCTCAAGTTAAGACGGGAGTCATTCCATTTTGTTCAGGGTACACATAAGGTCGTTTTGCATTCAATTCCGTCATTTACACAAGCCCGATTGCATATCATATACAGGGTTATCCAAATTAAGTGTTCACCATTAGTAACTTTGTTATCAGTGAAAATACAAAGTTGTTTGAATTAGCAAACTAGTAGCATTTTTAACGCTGGTAAAAATGAGAAATAAAAAAAAACAATTGAGAGTCGTTATTTTGATTTTTTTCAGTAAAATAACATTTTTTTAAATGGAAACCCCTGTATATTATATTTTTTTCTGTTACAGCATCAAATTTTAAACAAAAAAGTTCATAATGACTTTTCCGCTAAAGTCAAAAATAAAGTCAAAATAACGATAAATATTTTTAATTATTTGCAGTATTATAATATTAAGACGGCTATGAAAACAACATGGCGTTCGCGATTTGACAGCATTAAGATAAGCGACAAATTGTTAAACTGGACATACTCGCAACTAGAAGGCTTTGGAAAACAATGATAAAATCAAATAATGTCAAACATTAGTGTAAATACTTGTTTATAAGCTTTATTGTGTCATTAATTTAAAGAAAAATGTTCTCCCATGAAGAAAAGTGTGATATGTTAGAATGCTATTTAGTGTGCAGAAAATCCTCCTTGAGAGCAAGAGAATACTACAGTGAATTATATCCCGCTCGCATTCAACCGTATGAACGATATTTTCTGAGACTTTATCGAAAATTTAGGGGCAACGAAAATGTTTTTGCTAAAACAAGGGCAAAAAAAGAATTCATAATAAGCGAGGCCACGGAAATTGCAGTTATTGGATATTTTGAAGCTTATCGTGAGAATTCAATAGCAGATATTCTCAAGGACTCTAATTTCAGTTATGGTACTGTTCAAAGGATTTTAAAAAAATACAAATTTATTCCGTAAAAGTACCGACCAGTTCAAACGCTTTTGGCAGGGGATCCAGAGAGAAGACTTGTTTTTTGCCATTGGTATCTTAGCTTCTGTCGCCAAAATGTAAATAACTTTCGTTACCTTTTATGGACAGATGAATCAAATTTTTCAAATTCTGGAATGTTTAATAGAAAAAACCACCATTATTGGTCAAGAGAAAATCTTTTGTTAGTACATCCAAGAGGCCCACAAGTCCGTTTCAGTTTCAACGTTTGGTGCGGTATAATTGGTTCAAAAATTGTTGGCCCGTTCTTTTATGAGGGAACCCTAACTGGTGAAAGATATGTGGAATTTATGTCAGAAATTCTGACTAATTTCTTAGACGAATTGGATCATATAAGTAGACATCATCTGCATTTTCAGCAAGATGGCGCACCTGCCCACAACTCCAGAGGTACTTATCATTTTCTAAGTACTACTTTTAATGATCAGTGGATAGGAACAAATGGCCCAATACAGTGGCCTCCCAGATCACCAGATCTAAACCCACTTGATTACTTCTTGTGGGGTAACTTAAAGAACCAAATTTACAAGCGAAGGTACGATAACCTTGACGCGTTAAAGACTGCAGTTAGGGAAAAGATAACCCAGATAGATGGTAGGACCATACTTAAGACAGTTCGAGCAGTTGAAAAACGTGCCCAAAAATGTATTGAAGAACAAGGTGGTGTTTTCGAGCATCTTCTTTAAAAAAAATTGTTATTATATTTTGTAAGATTATAAGTTGATGTTGAAAATAAAGTTTGTCGATACAATTTAATTGTTTCAGATTGGAGGCCATAAATTCAACAATTTGTAACCTAGGAGAAAAGTTATTGTAAGCTATTTTGTTTAAAATTTGATGCTTTAACAGAAAAAAATATAATATACAGGGGTTTCCATTTAAAAAAATGTTATTTTACTGAAAAAAATCAAAATAACGACTCTCAATTGTTTTTTTTTATTTCTCATTTTTACCAGCGTTAAAAATGCTACTAGTTTGCTAATTCAAACAACTTTGTATTTTCACTAATAACAAAGTTACTAATGGTGGACACTTAATTTGGATAACCCTGTAGAATTCGTCAAGAGCACAAATCAATAAATTCCTTTGAGCGGAGTTTTCTTTGTCTCCCCACAAAATGTGGTGACAATTGAAGTCCCGCAGTATCTTGTTTTATCTTCAAGTTGACTAAAAATATTGATCCAATCCAACTTATTTGCTTTAACAGTAGGAGGTTTATATTTTAAAACTAGATTGATATCACTACTACTAATTTTCATTGTACATGCTTCAGTGCTAGCATCTTGTGTAGGTTGTAGTCCTAATCTTATGTAATTAATCGTTTGTGATATTATTGACACTCCACTAAAGCTGTCAGACATCGGTTTGACGACAGAATTAAATCCTTTCAGATTCAGATCCTGCTCTTCCTTCAACCAAATTTCCGAAAATATTACGATACCAACATTTTGATTTGATATTTCACTGTAACATATTTATTTCTTGTATAGTATGTGTCATCATCATCCATTAGAGTAGTATCATTTCGTTAAGGAATAATAAATGTAGTATACAGTAATATCCAAAATATTTGTTTTAAAGTGTTTAACACTATTTTCATACAAATTAAAGTGACCTTTTGATTAATTATCCGCTCTTTGTGTGGTATAAACCCTCTTCTGTATGTGTTTGGGAGTACTCAATGTCTGTTATTTTTTGTGCGGATTCAGGGGAGTTTGGGGGAGTATTTTGTGATAGCTTTTTACGTTTATTCAACCTTGTATACGTAGTTATGCTTTGTGAGTATGCTTCGTTGTTACATGTAGCCGTTATTGTGACGTTTCTGATTCTTTTAATTCGGGGAAATTTTCAATGTTGTTAAATAAGTCAAACGATATGTTCTCCATAGCCATCACTTTTTTAATATTCAACTGTTTTTTATCCATTGGTCTTTCTTTTGGGATAGAATTGTGATCTTTACTTCCGCAATGCACACATGTTTTGTCTCGACACCTGTCATTTCCGCAGGCCTCACGCCCTTTGCCTCTGCACTGCTATTTACTTGTGTGACCATAGCGCAAATATTTAAAATACTGAGCGACTGGGTAATAATCCTACAAAAGTGACGACCATTTGTCGATCTACAAACGTTTCTCCATTAGTATCTTGTCTTGAATTGCGTTTTAAGCGTTCAACCTCGGATACCTCTACAGACGATTGTATTGTATTTAGAATGTACTCCTCAGAGAACACCATTTTTGTGATTATAGAATTTAGGTAACTAATTTGTTTTTGTGATAACTTCATGATTCACCAACGCATTTGCAATACGATTTAAATACGACTTTTAGTCTGTTTATACCTACAGCCTTAATGTCCACTGCATTTTCTTAAGATACCGTACATCTACTTCTTCAAGAAGGTAAACAAGATGAAGGGGAACAAAATGCCTAAACTTTTTTCTAGATGTTCAACGATAACATAGTACCGTCCTATGTCTGTCTCCAAATATTTATTTGAGAAACCATGCACCTTTTCACTTCAATTTTTTTGTGTATTGTTTATGGCTGAACTTTTTGGGTCGAGTTATTTGACCTAGTAGTTAATCTGATCTAATATAAATCAAGAGAGTGATATAAAGGGATAGTGATCAAAACAATGGAATACTACTTATCCATAAAGGAATTCACTCGCTTGTTTTTAACCACCGAAGAAAACACGTCCATTCTCTAACACTGTTACCACGGAACTCAGTCAAGTGCTTGAAGCGCCACTTGAGTACCTGAACAAATATTTACAGTCAAGTGCCCCAATTGTCGTTCTGCAATCGTTATGGCACTCAGTTATGTAACATATAGTTCTACCTGAAAAATCCGATGCCCAGGTTCCTTAATAGCTCAGTTTGCTCTTCCTGGTTATTCCGGTGAAAATGTCATGCTTACTTCTCACCAGTTCTTAAATAATCTTTGCTTATACTGATTGAAGTTTGTGCTAAGAAAAGTGTATCTACTTACTGGATGAATGAGCCTTCATCTTATCTTCCTGGTCTGAGTTTTGAAGTACGAAGCTGGGCTCCCTGGTAGTAATCTTGAAGTCTGATGTGAACGGCTCACCCACGTTCATTCTGCAAGATAACAAGAGGTTTCTTAAAAAATGCATTTGCTAAATTTCAAATGTGACAAACATTTTCTTATTCTGTTTTATCCAGTTTTAGGGAGTACGTAATATTTGAAACTGACACGTCTTCTTTGTTTCAATTAGCATTTTTAGCTCAAGGTTACAAATCTGTTAGTTCTTCCGATTTTGCCTGGTGAAGGCATTTTGAATGTTAAATTGGTTCAGATTTTGATCAATGTGCGCTACAAATGAATTATATACACCAGTATCAACTGATTATTTATTATTGATACAGATCTCAATTCTTGAACCCAAACTTGTTAGCTAGGATTTCAGCATGTAAGTCCATCAGGTTGATTTAAATATTGTTCTAAATCTCAAAGGCTCCATATGAAGATCGATCTGCTACAGAGTGTCCGCGAAGTTGGCACGTTTCTTTACACGGCAAATAGATCTAGTAACATATACACCAAAGTGTTATAATAACCGAGGTATTAGGCTCCGCTAAACCAGTCAAACCTAACCTAACCCGCTTCTGTATATCGATAAGTGAGAAGGCACGACGCACGTCGGTACTCAACTCAGGCATCGACAGATTAGGTAGCAAAGCATTTATTTACCAGTCGGTTCGAAAAAATCACAGTGGCACACTCGTACAGCAATATAGAACTTGTATCATGATTTTAGTTTATGATGAGTGTCTTCAAAATGCTACCGAGGCTTCGCGAGTGTTTGCCAGGTCGCTTTCCCAGACATTCTCATTCGGGACCGCGTACATTTGTTTACCTTGTGCAAACAGCTAGGGATAGGGGTCGTTTGTAGGAATGTCGAGGTGGACCCAGTGGGCGACCTAAACAACGACGAATCTTGTAGAAAAGAATCGTTCAGAAAGCACTGCGATAGTGGCTAGACAAGTCTTCAAGACTAAAGTGTGACAAGCGCTGCGTGATGATGGTTTGTACCCTTTTGTACAAGCCCTCCAAGTGACGCATGTATCAACCCTCGCGCATAAAGGGGTGAATAACTACCGAAATACTCATGTGTAGTCATTGGAAAATCATCCTTTCCATTTTTAATAGTCATTCTTTCTTTGAATATTTGGACTGGCATAATAAATGGCATGCTCGTTGGACCTTTTATTTTCCCAAATCGGCTAGACAATTTATACTACCTAGACTTTCTACGTCACATTTTACCAATTGCGACAACCACTTATAAGTAACAGAGCCGCACTTGAAATTTCTCTCCAAATGAACTGTGAGTACTTCCCCATTTATCTTTTTTTTTCTTTTTCACTACTGCTTGACCACACATAAGCTTTGTTATTTCAAGCGTACTTGTTTCTGTAAAGACCCACCTTTCAGAACACCCTTGTGCCGTTGGATGGTCAAGGTAGCTGTAGCATGAAATAACTTAGAAGGGTGTTGAGGGGCTTTAACTGATACTCTTCGGTAAGTGATATTTTGATTGAAGCTTTCATAAAATTTCCAATGTCCTAATGGAACTATATGTTAGTTGGATATTTTTATGGCAATCACTGGGCTTAAACTTGAACCTGAAACGTTTTGTGAATTTTTATACGTTTTTGGGGTCGGTCCAATCGCGTTAGAGATGGTTTTGATGTCTGAGATACTTTAAAGTTTTATTTCTTCTTTATCTGTAAACCTTCTCTCACCATTCTTTAAATATTTTCAATAATATTTTCACTGTTTTGATTTCATCTTCTGCGATAAATTTGGTCATAAAGTGACAGCTTGGCCAGAATCCAGAAACCGCCCATACTTCAAAATCCGAACGGTATTGTTCCTTTCAAACAGTTCATTTAAATTCAACAAGCTGGGGGAATGTAAAAACCTAAAAAACGTCAAGTATGCAAAATAATTCATTCGACGTTTGCTCGCTGTGATTGCTGTTCGCTGACATTTAAGCAACACGTACAGCTACAAAACAAGTTCACAACATGTCTACAACAGCTTGTGCTAACTTAATATCTTGTAGAAGAATCTACGTTATGTCACAGGATGTCAACAAAACCGACAAACTGTCACTTTTCACAATATGTAATACCCGTGTTGGTTCTAGGAATCATAATTAAAACAACCGGAATTGTAATCGAAATCATCGAGATTGGAATCGAAAGCATGAAAATCGGTTCCTCTGTGGTATCGAATGACACGTTCAGAATCGACACAGTCTATTACTTACTGGACATCCATGTCATTCGAATAGCTCCTGGGAGGCTGATTGTCATCATATTCAGGTAAAGCGTATGTAGTTCTTCTCATTATCAACAGCTTTGGCATGAACTGCAGGAATATCTTCCTGAACAGAGGAGACATCTTGTGCGTTGAGGGAGACCTAAGAACAACACTTCACATTAGCATTAATTAAGTTTAAGTATTTTATAGAAGCACTACTGCGCTATAGCTACACTGATTATAGTGTTCTGCCTAGTATATCCAACTTTAGCGTTATTAAAGTCAAATATCCCTAAGCCAGGCGTTCTGGCTCGGAGGTATTGTTTTTGAATGTTTTTCAAACCGACAAAAGAACATGGCGCTTTGAAATTTATCAAGCCATCCCAACTAACCATATGGTGCTATAAGCTTTTGGAAAAAAACTGTTTAGCAGCAAAGTCTCTCTTTTGTTGTTAACTGAGCACTAAGATGCTGGTTTAATATTCTATTATTTTGCTTCGTGCAGCATATTTGGTCTAAAATGAGGTGTCCAAAACGTTATTGTACCATATTTATACACCACCTTACAGGATAATGTTTGGACTGTTGTGGCACCCATGGTAACATTTGTACAACAACCATGAGCCCTGTTCTCTTGGTGTGTAAAATTACTGCTTTAACCAACAAGTTGGTCCCATTAAGAGCACTTATACAACTATAGTTGATTAACTGTTGAAGGCTATACATCTGCAACAATATCACAACTTGGCACAACATTTATGTGCTCGGCATGCATTGGTCGCTTAATATATAGATGTACAAATTGCTTTTGTCGATTGCGAAAATCAGCTGTAGTTGAATAAAAGCAGTAATATTTTTCGATAAGGGTTATTATAGGCATCGGCGTTATGGAGGGGCATGTTCACCGAATATGGGTTTTCACCTTATGGGCTGTTGTGAGGTAATTTTGACATATTTTATTTCATTCCTTGATTTTTGCGCAACACATATTTTTTAGTAGCAGTTGCAGCTCTTCCATCAGGGTTATTGCGCACCTTCCAGTTTCAAGGATTAGGTAGGGTTACATTCTAAGTTGTTGGTAAACTTGGCAATCCTTTGCTCTGAATAATCAGTGACCGGCCATACAACCGGCCACCTTTTTTTCTATCCCGCTGTACGTGAGTATTCAGTACAACTTAGGTACTTGGATATTCTTAAAAAAAAGAAACGTGCACCGACATATTGGTTTGTCACTTGGGTGGGCATTGCTAGGCCATTTTGCTGACAATATGTGCAACAAGTAAGATTGGTTCCTAACTCAATCGAATTCATTGTTAAGGCTATGGTAGCAATTCTTTTAAAATAGGCAGGCTAATCTATTACTTTAAAGGATATGATACAAAATAGTGTACAGACCGTAGTAAATACTGATCGTGTAACATTCGCCTTTGGACCTATCTAAATATTTTGAGGATTGATGAGGTTATATAAAAACGTTTGTTTTGTAAATGTAGTGCCTCCAAGGATTTAGAAACTCCGCAGAGGATCCATGGTCGTGACACCAATATTGAATTTATATGTTTGTAGAATCTACTACAACTCTGCTCCCTAGCGGTTACCTTACTTTTTTGCTTATCACCGACTGTCACTTTGTAATTTTCTAAGTAGTATGGAAACAAGAAACAGCCTATCTCGATTTGTATGTGAAACTTTCTGGGAGACATGGTACTTTGAAATTCAAATTAACGATTTTCTATTTTCAAAAGTCTCAAGCCTGTTGATGGAAATCCTATACTACGTTGTTTCTAGTTTGAGAAAGGTTTTTAAGACATCCCATCATATAATAAAGGCGCAAATGCGCATTTCTTACCTGAAATGGACGTTGAGTACACAAACCGTCACCCAAATAGAGGAAGTGACCAGGATCATAGTGAATAACAGATACTTCCCCAGCAAAGGCACAGCTAAAGACGTTGGAGGAATAATTTCAGCCAAGAGCAAGAAGAACACAGTCAGCGACAGTAAGATGGATACACATAGGGTGACCTTTTCTCCAGAGTCTGAGGGTAGATAGAAAACCAGCACTGTTAAAAAGGTAATACCTACGCAGGGTATGATTAGGTTCACTGTATAGAACAGTGTCTTTCTGCGCATGGTGATCTTGAAGGTGATATCTGAAATAAAAGTCTAAATCAACAGTACTCTACCGCACAAAAAGTTTGTTCTGGTATACCACAGGGATCTGTGTTAGGACCCCTGCTTTTTCATTATATATCTCAGATTTAGACACAGAGGTAAAATCATGCAGCACATAATTTTTCGCCGACGAGACTTGGATTTTCTATTCACTTAGGACTAATGACTTGGAAACAGCTAATAACAAGATTAATAAAGATCTTGCCCAAATTGAAAAGTTTAGTAGTTTAGTAGTCATAATCTTAGTCTGGAAACTTAAAAGACAAATATGTTGGTATGCGCCAATAAAACAAGGAGTGTTTCACAAAAAGACATATACATAAATTTAAAAGGGAACAAAAAAGTACCTGTGGATCATTCGAAGAACCCAGGTATTATAATGGATGATGACTTGAAATTTCTTGAACACGTAAACTATCTAATTCCTCAGTGTTGCTCTATTCTCAGAGTTATATTGCAAATAACATAAATCATACAATACAGAAATCTGAGAGAAAGCAATTGTGTGAATCTTGTTTTCAAAAATATCATACTGCTTAATGATTTACTATACCTTTTTAGATATTAGAACAAGAAATCGCATTCAATGTACTATGAATACATGTTGCAGGCTTGTAAATGATCTCAGAAAATACGATCATATATCGAAGGCTATTAATGACCTCAAATAATATGGTACAATTCTTTAGATGGTAGTTTAGAAGAAACAAATCATTACCAAAAATCAGGAGGAGTTCTACCTGATCAGCAGCGAAATCTGTTGTAACCCATCAGTGTTAACTGACCTTATGTTTTCTTTAAGCCATTTCATTGATTATACTTTATTTTGGTATGCATATATTAATTTTCAACAAACATTCAGTTTATATACATCTCATATTGTTAAGAGTGTTAGGTGGTAGATTAGATATTGTATCCAAGTCTCGCCTTCTGTAATATTATTACAAATAAAAAGACGTTAATTATTGTTATCTTTTTTATCTTGCCGATTCAAATTTTGAACTGTCTAAGGTTTATGTTACTAGGAAAATACTTTCCCAGAGTGTCGTTCCACATTTTCAATGCCCTATTAAAGCAGTGACCGAACCGGCCATTTTTCGATTTACGGTGCTATAATGAGAAATAGAAGCCTGGCGGTGACGTCTAGCAAGATTATGTATAATCCCCCATATTTGCCTGACAAATGACACCACATGTGTTTGAAATTCTGCTTTAATATAGTATACGTCTTGGCCACAACGTATAACTGTTTGTTTTAAATAGGTACATGTGGTTTCATTGGCCAGACGAACGTGGGGGACCATCGACATGAAAGTGCGGAGTAAGTTCCGCTGTCACATTGGCCAAAACGACTTTGGCCATTAACCGCTCGTCGATGTGAGCGAAATTTGTTCTGTTGAGTAAGTATCGCTGAAGGGGAGACCGAGAAAAGTTGTGACAATTGCCACTTCAATGAGCATGTCTTAGTAAAAACAGTCATATGCTTATGATTTTGGTATTCAATATAGCTAGTTCTGAGCGCTACGTAAAATAGACATAAAATTGTTGAATGTATGAGGGTCCTTAAGAAATTTAACGAAAACTGGAACACTTCTTTATCTCACAACAAGTTTTGAGGTAAGTTGTGACATATGTCCAGGTAAGTTGTGACAGTAACATAGTGTACTAATTTTTTTGGGTTCTTTGGGTGTGAATTAAAACACTCGATTCCACACAAAAAAATGCACTAAGTTATTTACAACACCACATAACTAACGTTAACTTAACTAGATAGAACAGTTATGTACACCACTATTTATGCCTGACTACTTATTTACGAATTATAATGTCGCGATATTCACTTCCACTTCAACTCTCTCCCAGCCGTCGGCTTCTATATGCCGCATCGCAGGTACTCGTTGATTCGAGAAAGTTCCTGTATGCTACATAGCGGCCACTCCAGAACCTTCGTGGTCAGTCTCGCAGCTCGCTTTGATGCCGAAGGAGAGTCCCTGGTGAGGTTGCCAACAGATGGCACTAGTAGTACCGTTCTCATTATACTGTCTCCTCCCTAAAGTCATTACGTCATCCGGAATGATATTACTGGTGGTGGATGTCGATATCGGCACGACTGCCCTTTCTTCCAGTAGAAGTTCTTGAAGAAGTAACAATCCACACTCTTTCCAGGAGGTAGCCGTATAGGGCTTGAGAAAACTATCCCAGTCTCTTTGATGGCTAGATACTACCTTAGCTAAATACCGGTTAATGGTCCTATTCATGCGCTACACCATTCTATCTGACTGTGGGTGTAAGGCAGTAGTCCTAGCCTTCTCAATCTCAAGGATTTGACAGATATTTTGGAATGGAGTGTACTCGAAATTGCGCCTTTGATCCGAATGCAACTCAAGGTACACCAAATCGACAGATTCATTTCATTACTAAAGCATCGGCTACCGTAGAGGCTTCGTGATTTGGTAGGGCGTATGCCTCAACTCACTTGCTAAAGTAATCCATTACAACAATGATGCAGTTATTCCCTGCTTCACTTGCTGGAATTGGTCCCCCCACATCAGTAGCAATCCTCAAAGGGGCTCCACACGTTGAATTGGCGCATCGAGGCTTTTGGTTTCCTTTGCGTTCCATTACTTGCCGCACACACAACGCATTCTCTGCGCTAGTCTTTTACGTTCGACTTGGAATGAATGAATGAATCTTGAAATTAGAGGCATTCCGGCCACCATAAGGAGACAGTGCATAGGCCGCTTAAGCGGGCACTTATGCACCTCTACATTCCTTAGGTCACAAGCCTCGCCTTTTAGCGAATTTGAGAATCGCCTTGAGTCCAAGCTCCTTGACGTCCTGAGGGTCCAAGGTAATGGACCCCAGTATAGTCTGCCTATAGTAGCTCAGAGCTTCACAGCGACACAAAATGTGCGCCGAGGTCTCTTTCTGTACCCCGCAGCATTCACACAAGGGATCCTCAGCCACGCCCATCACGTGCAGGTGGCTCCTTAATGTGTTATGGCCAGACAACAGTCCCACCAGCAATCTTAGGTTGGATCCATCCAGAGATAGGCAGAAACGTCCATCCTTAGCACTGGGCCCTTGAATGAGCTCCCGTGCCTGGCGGAGACGTCTGGAAATAGTTCTCCATTTCTGAGGGTGTTGTCTTGCAACCCACGTCTCCATTTTCTTCCTAGCCTTATGCGTGGTCACTCCTAGAGCTGGCTCAGGACCAACGAGCTTGCTGGCTGATCCTGTCTTCGCCAGAGTGTCCGCCGTCTCATTGTTCCTTATCCCAGCGTGCCCCGGTACCCATATTGATGATACCGGATGCCCCGCTGCGAGGCAATCCAGAGCCTCCCTGCAGTGCAATACAAGACTCGAAGTAATCTTACAGGCACTTAGTGATTTCATTGCAGCCTGGCTGTCGGATAAGATTGTTATTTTTCTCCTAGGCCCACCCTCCTCCAGAATGTGAGGTACACAAGCCACCTGGAAAATAGTGGTGTATCCACCGGGAGGCAGAGATAGCCTAGTTCTAGGCCCAGAGCCGCCAGCACCTGAGCCCTCTTCGGTGACCTCGCCGTCCGTGTACCAGGCCTGCCCGCTCACTCCGGAGAGTCCCCGGCTATCGGCGTCCCACTCCTCCCTCGTTGGATACTCCACAATAAACTTGCGGTTGAAGCGATATTTAGGGATAATACGATCACCCCTCTTAGAAGGACGGGGTCCTACCTTTACAATTCCACTAAGATGGCATTATGTCCCTTGACAGGATTCAAGAAAGCCCAGCTGCCCTGACTCTACAGTCGATTAGCGACTACTCCCGCTTCGCCGCGGATCACCAGATCCAACAGTGGGAGATCCAACAGAGCTTCCATTGCACTCAATGGCGTTGTTCGCACTGCGCTTGTAATACTAATACAGGCCAAACGCTGAATTTTATTGAGTTTGGCCTTAATAGTCTCAGTTCTAATGCAAGACCACCAGACCAGGGAACCGTACAAGAGAGATGGACGTACTATCGTCGTGTAGAGCCAGTATACCACTTTGGGTTTAAGCCCCCACCTTCCACCGACAACACGTCTACAGGCCCACATTGAATTGCGAGCCTTGCTAACCTTGTATGCAACATGCTCTCTCCAGTTCAGTTTGCAATCCAGGATAATTCCCAGATATTTCACTGATTGGGATAGAATTAATCTAGCCCCAAAGAAGGCCTGCATGACCAGCCCGTCAAGCCTTTTTCTCCTAGTGAATAGGATCAGCTCGGTCTTTTCAGCATTAACCGAAAGATCGACTTCCCTACACCACGATTCCACAGAGCGGAGAGCGCCCTGCATAATTTCCGAGACTGTTCTACAAAAACGTCCCTTAACGTTCGACTTGCTATTGACCCAGTAAAATATTTCCCTCACTTTTTCCAGGGTTTTTGTAACTCCGAGACGACCTCCTGACACACCGGAAAGGATTTCTTCTAGCAGCTCCGGGATCCGACATCTGGGGATAACGATTTGCTTTCTTTCCTCTTTGCCGTCGTGGTCCACCATTTTACGCGGTAAGAGTACGTCATTCATAACTAGAGAATTCCATTGTGCCCAATATGATTTTGTCGTAGGAGGATACTTGGCAACTTCTTCCCAGGCTGGCTTCCGTTGTTCTTTCATATAGTTCAGAATTATTTGGAGATCGGGGTCGCCCTCTTGGTCTTTAATGAGGTCTTCGTTTTGCCAAGTATCACTAACGACAGTGGTTCTTAATACTAGGGCATCTTTCTGCTCTGCCCGCTTGCAATGCTTACAATCCTCTAAACACAGTATCCTCGATAAGGCATTTGCATTTCCATGAATTTTTCCCGCTCGGTGTTCGATGTCGAAGTCAAACTCTTGCAGCCTCTCTATCCATCTTGCAACTTGACCCTCTGGATTCTTAAGCTGAAGAAGCCATTTTAAAGCTGCGTCATTGGTCCGGAGTAAGAAGTCTGCCATAGAGGTATTTGCA